AGAGAGAGTAGGAGAAGTAAGATGACATATGACTACAAAAACGTTCCAGATAAATGACTATTTTCCTTACATTTTGGCATAAATCTGTAAACTTTGTAAAACAAGATACAAACCAAATACATAAAGAAAATAAAGTATATTTTAAAATCTCACAAACAGTGGGCTTGATGATGCACATCTTTAATCCCGCACTCGGGAGGTGGGGGCTGGTAGATAAGGCTAGCCTGGTCTACAAAGTGAGTTTCAGGACAGTCAAGGCTGAACAGAGAAACCCTGTCTGGAAAAACCAAAGAAAAATCATACTACTCAAACAAAACTCCACATACATAACAAATACTTGCTCAGCCTCAAAAGTGAGTCCCTGGGGGGCTGGAGAGATGGCTCAGAGGTTAAGAGCACTGCCTGCTCTTCCAGAGGTCCTGAGTTCAATTCCCAGCAACCACATGGTGGCTCACAACCATCTATAATGAGATCTGGTGCCCTCTTCTGGTCTGGTGGCATATATGCAGACAGAACACTGTATACATAATAAATAAATAAATCTTTAAAAAAAAAAAGTGAGTCCCTTCAGCCCTGTGAGTCCCTGGAGCACTCTGAGTCCCTGGAGCTCTATGAGTCCCTGGAGCACTCTGAGTCCCTGGAGTGCTCTGTGAGTCCCTGGAGCCCTGTGAGTCTCTGGAGCCCTGTGAGTCCCTGGAGCATTCTGAGTCCCTGGAGCACTCTGAGTCCCTGGAGCACTCTGAGTCCCTGGAGCACTCTGAGTCTCTGGAGTACTGTGAGTCCCTGGAGCACTCTGAGTCCCTGGAGCACTATACAAGTGTCTGTGGAATCACCACTCACAAGACAAGTTTTCCAGGCTGCTCTCTACAGCCAGGCCATGTTGCATTGACAGCTCACAGAGAGAAAGAAGGGCTATCTTGTCCGTATTTCCCCTAACTCAGCCTGCTGAACTCAGAAGCAGGGCACACTGACCAGGATGTTCCCATCCTCTCAACTATGTTACAAGATGTGCCTGGTGTCTTTTAACAAAAATATGTTTCTCAGTTTCTTCCTGGAATTTATGAAAAAAAAAAAGAAGTGTAAAACATCCTCCGTATGAGTGGCATACATGTATTAAATAAAAAATCACTTCCAGGAAGCCTGGTTTTCTTCAAACACCTTCTGTAGTTGCTGTTGCTTTGATTACACTCTCAAAAACAATTCTCCAGATCTGATCTTGTCGTAGAATTCTTTTGCTCATGCAAATCTGTCCTCATACGAATCATGATTTGTTCTCGTACGACCCCCACCATACACAAACACTCCTCAGCTTGAGGAAAAGACACCACTCGAGTTTATTTTTCAGAATATAAATAGAGGAAGTGTGACTTCAAGGGAACTAAGCGGCTCAGGGTGGGGGGTGGGGGCTGTCGGCTGTCATTTCCCCTCCGTCTCTGTGCTCTCGGTGCTTTTTGACTCCTGGATTCTTTCTAAACATTTTTCTAATATTTCTCTCCTGGCTCCTCTTGCTTCTCTGACTCTGTCGTCACAGAATACTGGTGAAATCTTCATTTGCAACAGATTATACCATATAATTCCCTTACGAGGCTGCCCCCCAAAGAGCTCCAATTTCTAAGACCAACTTTGATCCCTTAGTGTGCTTCTCTGGGTCATTTCCTCTAATTCAAGTAAGAACAATGCCCATCCCTATCTTCTTACAATCCCTATCCTGGGCTCTTTTTTATATTTGTCTCTAGATTCAAACAGGATCTTTCCCCGCCAAAGCTCTTCTAGAAATAGGTATGGTTGTTATTACTCTTCTCCACAGAGTAATGAAAAGAAACCAGGCACAAGCGAACCCAGGAATCCTCCCCCTGACTGGGCCCAGTCCCGACCCACTCTTTTGGAGCCACTCCCAGTACCAAGTGGAGGGCTCAGAGGATTGACGGACTACAACTCCCAGAAGGCCGTGCTGCCACGACCCCGCCTCTGCAGTTCCTCCCCATCAAGTATTCATTGGCCTTCCGGGGGTGGGGATTAGATGGGAGGTGGCCATGGGGCAGCGACCGGGGGTTGTTCCCTCTTCGGCTTCCGTAGACGAGGTCGGGAGGACCTTCGTCCGGGGTTTCGGTGCCCCCCCTTCCCCTTCCCCGGGGTCCGGGGGTGACATTGCACCGCGCCCCTCGTGGGGTTGCGTCGCCGCCCCACGCGGACTCCCCCCCGGCGCGCTGCTCCCTTTCGCCTCCCTTGGCCGGGGCTCCCTCCCGCCCCCAGCTGCCCAGTCATGGGGGCTGCGGTGTTTTTCGGGTGCACCTTCGTCGCGTTCGGCCCAGCGTTCGCTCTTTTCCTGATCACTGTGGCTGGAGACCCGCTTCGGGTTATCATCCTGGTCGCGGGGTGAGTAGCGAGTGGTGGAGACGGGGCCAAGCGTAGAGAAAATGATGCGGAAAGAGCTGGAGGAACTGGGGTGAGCATGGGAGCCTGAGTTGGGGGACAGAAGTAGGAAAAGGTTGGACAGGGTCAAATCGTGGTCTAGGCGATTTTCCGCAGTCGACTTCCGCCTTCCAGGGATTTCACAGATTCCTCCTGTAGTCTTCTCGGCAGCGCCAGAGAAGGCCCAAGGCCGAGAGTAGTGAGGGGGCTGTGCTGACCTCGGCTAGCCAGGACCCAGGAATGGATACCCTGCCCGTCCGCCCGTGCCGGCGTACACTTTGACTCTCATCTCACTGAAGACTCTGACCAGAATTTTTCCCCTTCTGCTGCTTGCAGATTCCTACAGATGATTCTGTTGGTGGAGACACTTATCCTACCTGGTCCCTGTCTCCCTGACCATCCGGAAGTCTAACTTCCACTTTTCATGCTGCAGCCTTGGCTGGTTCCCTCCTTGATTTTTCTGGCTGCCCCTATACTTGCCTCTCATTGTCTTTGTGTTTCCTCAGAGCCTTTTTCTGGCTGGTCTCCCTGCTCTTGGCCTCTGTGGTCTGGTTCATCTTGGTCCATGTGACAGACCGGTCAGATGCCCGGCTCCAGTATGGCCTCCTGATTTTTGGTGCTGCTGTTTCTGTCCTTCTACAGGAAGTGTTCCGCTTTGCCTACTACAAGCTCCTTAAGTAAGGACCGGGGTGGTCTGGAAGGGAGAGGGGACAGTGGTGTGCATTGTGGGAAGTGGGCCAGCCCTTGGGTGGTAGTTGGAATAAGGGGCGTTCAAGGGAGGATCTTGGAGGGAAAAGAACATCCCTGCCCTCTCTTATATTTCCTCTCTCTCATCCCAGGAAGGCAGATGAGGGCTTAGCATCACTGAGTGAGGACGGAAGATCACCCATCTCCATCCGTCAGATGGCTTATGGTGAGCCAAGGGAGAGGGACCAGAGGAGGGAGTTGATCACCCCCTCCTCCCCTTCAGGGTAATGTGCTAAGTGTTTCTCTTTATCCTTGACATCCAAGGAGAGGCAGTGTGGAGTCTGGAGGGAGAGTAGGTATGGTGGTTCTCACTGGGCACGGGAGAGGTGCTGGTAGAAGTGCTGTGGTGGCCTTGGACGTTGATGAGCGCCTCCCTCCCCCCAGTTTCTGGTCTGTCCTTCGGTATCATCAGTGGTGTCTTCTCTGTTATCAATATTTTGGCCGATGCCCTTGGGCCAGGTGTGGTTGGGATCCATGGCGACTCGCCCTATTACTTCCTGACTTCAGGTAAGGCTCACCTCTAACCTCGCCTTTATGCCCTGTCCATCCCCAGCCCCATCTGACCTTCCCTGGGAGGCTCCTCTGGCTCAGCATCTCAGGAGGCTGGGAGAAGGTCAGGGACGCATCTCCTCCCCATCTCCCTCCTTGCAGCCTTTCTGACAGCAGCCATTATCCTGCTCCATACCTTTTGGGGAGTTGTATTCTTTGATGCCTGTGAGAGGAGACGGTACTGGGCTGTGGGCCTGGTAGTCGGGAGTCACCTGCTGACATCAGGACTGGTGAGTTGGAGCTAGGGGCCTGAGTCAGGGAGAAGCATTTCAGAGTGAGTGGGCTGGGTTATGTGTTCTCACTTCACTTCGTTAACTTACGTTGGGTGGAGGCAGAAAGGTGAGCCTTAAAGGTCCTGTCACCTCAGCGTCAGTTAGGCCACCTGTTCTGGGGAGGAGCCTGCATGCTTAGTCAGACCAATGCAGATGACCTGAGGTGGCTAGGAGGAGCTGAAACCTTTGAGGAATCTAAAATCAAAAGCTCCCTTAGCTCCAGAATGTCTGGGGGAGGTTCGGTCAGAGGCACAAAATGAATGTTGGGGCTAGGTGTGGGGAGAATCTAATCTCTTTTCTATCCTCGTTCTCAGACATTCCTGAACCCCTGGTATGAGGCCAGCCTGCTGCCCATCTACGCAGTCACTGTTTCCATGGGGCTCTGGGCGTTCATCACAGCTGGAGGCTCCCTCCGAAGTATCCAGCGCAGCCTTTCGTGTAAGGACTGACTACCTGGACTGATCGCCTGACAGCTCCCATCTGCCTGTCCACTGCCCATGACTGAACCCAGCCCCAGCCCGGGTCCATTGCCCACATCCTCGTCTCCTCGCTGATGTGTCCCGCTACCTTCCGGGTTTGGTGTTGTCCATTCGTGACCTGTAGTCTCTAAGCTTTCTCAGGAGCAGCCTGGGTGCAGCCCGTCAGGGACTGGTGGGTTTGAATCTGCGTTACTCCCCACCACCTGGGGAGCCCCTTGTCCAGGTCTCCCCATGTGTCAGTGCTCTGCTCTCACCCTGCCCATGACTCACCCCGCTTCCCCTCTGCAGGCCGACGGCAGGAGGACAGTCGGGTGATGGTGTATTCTGCCCTGCGCATCCCACCCGAGGACTGAGGGAACATGGGGGGGACCCCTGGGCCTGGGGTACCCTCCCGATCTCCTCGTCCTGTATTTCTCCATCTCCAGTTCTGGACAGTGCAGGTTGCCAAGAAAAGGGACCTAGGTTAGCTGTGGCCCTGGTGATGAAGTTGCTAGAGGCTCAAGGGAGATGAGTTCAGGTCTCCAGTATCTACTGCCCAGACTGGACATCTTGGTCTTTTTCTCAGGTCTGAAAAGAACCATTTTTGGTATGATAAAGACCCCAGAAATGCCTTTTTTTTTTTAAAGTCGGGGGAGTGAGGAGGTCTATTGGGAGCCTCCTAACCTCCTTGGGCTGTATTTTTGCTCCTGAAACTGCTGATCATGGCTCAGTTCTGTCCCATTTTCCCCTTGGTCCCAGGCCCTGGGGAAAAGGAAGGAAGTGCATGTTTGGGAAACTGGTACCACTGGAACTCATGTTTTAACGTCCGTGACCATCAGCACCCCTCCTCTCCCCAAGGTGAAGTGGAGGGTATTGTGGGATTGGCCCACTCCATGGCAGTGCCCCTGGAGGAGTCAGACTACCATGGCATCGCAGGCCAAGCAGGCAGACATTTTTCTAGTTTTTAACTGGGCTGTGGGAGGGCTGGGAGGGTTTCTACCACTGTACCATTTTTCTGCCAAGGGTGGGATGTCCCATCCTTTTAATCAAGGTGATTGTGATTTTGACTAATAAAAAGGACTTTATAATTGTGGGGGAACTTGGCTTTTAAGAGAAGGGATAATGGATTGAGATTTCTAGCCCTTGGTGGCTTCCGTCCATCCTCCTGCCTAGCCTGACAACAGTGTTCACTGGTGGCAGCTTGGGTGTGATGTCAGAGGCACCGGTGGAACTGAGTTGGCTTTCCCAGGAGTAGAGTGCCCCTGTCCAGGAAGAGGGTACAAGGAGTTAATTCCCCAGTTTTCTTTTTCTCTATGTCTGCCTCGGCCACCCAGAGGACAGAGGAACTCTCCCACCCTTGAAAGGCACAAAAGACAACCAGAAGTAAGATTTTCAAACATATATTGAGCAAAAAAAATAACTAAACTTCCAGCAGCAGCTTTTTCCTAGACATGTATCTAGGTGTGTCTAGGGGAGGGTCCATGAAGGTGTGAGGTGAGGGACATCAGGGCACGTCTCAGCTTCTTCATAGCTGCCTGTTAAAGCAGGGATCTCCTGACCTACGTGCTTTGGAAGGCCAGAGACTCCGCTCTTCCTTGAAGCCCTGGGTCCTTGCTTTTCTGGCGTTTGTGTGCAGAGTTGGTATGGAGAAGGACATGTGTCTGCCTGCTACTTCTAGTCCAGCCCCTGCACCCCCTTAGACCCCTGATGGGTATGAGGGGAAGGTGTCCATGGCATGGAGACGGGGTTTATGCCTCTGTGGTAGCCCGTGCCGAGGTGAAGGCCACACTCTTCCTGCTTCCTAGCCTCTTCTTCCTGGAAGGGGAAGCAGTGGTTCATGGAAGTGACTAGTGTCCTAAGTGAAGGTTAGAGTAGGACAGGAAACACTTTTTAAAAACAACTCAATAAGTATCTGAATATGACCTTAAACTTTCTCCTTCCTCCACCTCCTGTGTATTGGGATTACAGTGTGTGCCAGCATGCCAGGTTTATGTGGTGCTAGGGATCAAACCCAGGACTCTGTGCATGCCAGGCAAGCACTCCACCAGCTGAGCTGCATCCCCAGAGAATTTTTTTTTTGAGGGGTGGTGTCTCTATGAAACTCTGGCTGTCTTGAATCTCACTCTGTATAGACCAGGCTGGCCTTGAACTCAGAGATCTTCCTGCTTCTGCCTCCCAATTGTTGGGATTAAAGGTGTATACCACCCCACCATGCCTGGCTGAGAATGCATTTTTTGTTTGTTTTCGGTTTTTTTTTTTTCTTGGTTTGTTTTTTCGAGACAGGGTTTCTCTATATATTTCAGGCTTTCCTGGAACTCATTCTATAGACCAGGCTGGCTTCAAACTCAGAGATCAGCCTGCCTCCGAAATGCTGGGATTAAAGGTGTGCACCACCACTGCCCAGTCTCTGAGAATACTCTTTTAATAGAAAATAAACTACTTCAGGGATAGAAAGTAGGATCTTACCTAATTTTTTGAGCAATGAAATAAACAGCCAGCAGAAGGCAGAGACATCCAGCCAAGATTCCCACACCTAGACCCAGCATCTCTCCTGGGGGGGGGGGGGGGAGACACAAAGTTGTTAGTCCAGTCTAACAGGTGCTGGAATCCACACTCCCTTCACGGTTCCCTACAGAGCCATCTTACCTGTGGTATACAATGGTCCCGCTGTAGAGGAAGAAAACTTGGTTAGGGGAGTTTCAGAACATCTTCCCGTTTGGGAGCCCTGCTTCCACACCTGGAAAATGACCTCTGGGCATCCATGGCTAGGAGTGGTTCCCAGTCTAAGGAAGTGGGAATCCACTCTTGGCCTTTTCCTGCCCAGGGCTTGACTATTCCATGCCTCTTGAGTTCCTCAGTTTCCGAGCCCTGCCAGTCACCTTGGACGAAGGAAGCAAAGATGGTCCTCTGGTTGAGAGGCTGGGGGATTCTGTAGTTCTGTATGAGGGGCGCAAGTGGCTCCTCTTCCGTAGAGAACAGCGTCCCCTGAAGCTGTTCTAACTGAGAGCAGGAGTAGAAGTCACTCTGGGGCCTGGGCAAGGGTCTGAGTTAAAGCCGCTCTTAGCTTCTCCAGCACTCACCTGTTCCACTGAAATCTGGGCCCTTCTGTGGAAGACTGTCCAGAGGACACTCTGGTAGCAGGGTGGGGTCGTGAGTGAGCCGTTGTACCGGAAGAACTGCTCCAGCTGTTGGGGGAGCAGCTCTCTCACATTGAAGGGGGGCACTGAGGTCATCTGGTCTACGGAGAGCAGAGCAAGTGTCAGCCGTCCTGTACAGGGTTCCTCTGGGCAGAGTGCACAACTCCCTGCTCCTCCCCAAGCCTCTTAGGTCAGGTTTTCAGTTTCTCTGCTGTTGAATTGTTTTGTTTGTTTGTTTGTTTGTTTGTTTTTTGAGACAGGGTTTCTCTGTGTAACAGTCCTATCTGTCCTAGAACTAGCTCTCATAGACCAGGTTGTCTTCGAACTCACAGAGAGCTGCCTGTCTCTGCCTCCTGAGTGCTGGGATTTAAAGCATGTGCTACTACTGCCTGACAAGGTTTCTCTGTGAAACAGTCCTGGCTGTCCTGTAGACCAGGCTGGCCTTGAACTCACAGAGATATGCCCACCTCTGCCTCTGGAGTACTGGGATTGAAGGTGTGCACCACCAGTGCCCGGCTGCAGTTAAATTCTTACTAAGAGTTTTCGGGCTCACCTTTATGCCTTATTTCGTGCAGATGACTCAGAATGTGACCGTAAGCCGGGTTCTCAGTCTCGCCCACCTGTGGAGGAGTGTTCGCTAGAGGTGCGGCAGAAGCATGTGTTTGGAGTAAGAGTGCAGCAACAGAACAGGCCTAAGGGATGTGAGCAGAGAGCTGAGAGGGGTTAGGGATTACTGACCTCAATTAAGATGCCTAGGACAGCCAGGCCCTGAGGCTTCTGAGCAGCCTCTCTCAGACTGCCATAGGACTCCGAGTCATAATGGACCACGTGGAGCTGTGGGAATGGAGACAGGCATGAGTTCCCTCACACGTCTTCAGTCTTTCCAGAGCTTTGGCTTTGGTCACCACCTCAGTCCCCCGGTCTGAGTCTCTGCCCCCAAAGCTTTGCCTTGTCCCTTCAATACAACTTTTCAAGGGTTCACATCCACTCTCCAAGATCAACTGCGTCCTGTACCCTAGTCGGTACCTCTGCCACCGTGGCTTCGCTGTTGATCTGGTGCTCGGAGCCCTCTTGGGATCCTCTCTGACCCCAGTGCAGGTGGAGCTGGGCTGCTGTGTATTTCCGGGGCAGTCCGCCCAGGTGCAGAGTAGAGGGCAGGGAGAGCTGCACTGTGAGGGAAGAGGTGGGGGTTGGTGGGGGAGAGGGGGCAGTTCCCACCCCGACTGGCCACCACCTGGGACACTTGGCTCTCCTCTTCCTCTCCTAGGCTGTGGCTTTTCTACCACAGTGGCCTCTCAGTGCTGTGACACTAACCTACACATCGAACTTGACCATAGACATTCAATCCTACCTTAGCTGCAAGAGCCCAAATCTGTTTGAGACAGGGTTTCTCTGTGTAGCCTTGGCTGTCCTGGAACTCGCTAGGTAGATCAATCAGGCTGGCCTTGAACTCACAGAGATCCGCCTGCCTCTGCCTCCCCAGTGCTGGGATTAGAGGCGTGCGCCACCATCGCCTGGCTTTTTCCTCTGGCTCTTTTAAAGTCTGAACTGGAAGCTGCAGTTACTTGGAGTAGAGTCTTTTACCTGTATGGCCATTATTGTGTAGATCCAAAGGCTCAGTACCAGGCTGGTCATATCCATGGGGCTGTACAGCAGTCAGATCAGGGTCAAATATCACACTGTCTGTCTGAATGTTGATGGGGGACTGGGCATCGCCTCCACACTCAGGGTAAGAGGTTGGCCAGTGGTCCTGACCGTGTGGGCCTGGGGGAGGGGTAAGTTACCATGGGTCCATGTCCAGCCCCACAGCCCCAACCTCCCTTTAGTAACCCCCTACCCCATACACATTACAGTGGAAGCAGAAATCCACTTCTCCCCACCCAGTTAGGTGGGGCAGGGTGAGGTGGGAGTGCCCACTGCCCTCTAGGCTGCAGCGCCCCTCGCTGCCCCAGAGGCAGGGGGTGATTCTCCAGCTACCCTAATTAGTGTGTGTGTGTGTGTGTGTGTGTGTGTGTATATGTGTGTGTGCGCGTGCGCAGGGGTAGCGTTCACTCACCTGTAGTTTGAGAACAGTGAAGCTGAGTGAGGGAAATAGACAGAAAGCCTGAACACCCGGTGAAGCAGAATCAGAGGGGACCACTGACCCTAAACAGATGAAGTATCTCTGGGGCTCCCTATCATGTAGTCTTGGGGTTCAGGTATCTTTTCTGTCCTTCACTCCTTACTCTCACATGGACCTTGCTTTGACTCCAGCTAGGTCATTAATCAGAAGTTCAAAGGGATTGAGTTCCCCTGTCTCTAGTGTCACAGTATCCTGCCAGCTCTTCCTCCTGACCTCAGGCTCTGTCGGGTTTCAGAGATGGGTTGGGGGTAGGACTGCTGGGGAGGAAGAGCCAGAAGAATGGCCGCTGAGCGCATCGCGCCTCTCGCCACCCACTCTTCTTCATTTCCACACAGATTTGCGGAGGACTCGTGGGCTTTTCTGCTGAATCAGCAGACGTGGGATTTTTTTTTTTTTTTTTAATGCTTAGTGCAGGGTCTAGCAGCCACATGTATAAACCCAGGGCGTGTGTCTGTGTGTGCAATGCAGAAGAAGAGGGGCTAGCGTCTGAAGCTCAAGGAAAGCTCTCCCTCCCCAGGAAGTCTTCGTGTCAGGTGAGGGGGGAGGGGTCCCAGGGCGAAAGGAGTGCCAGGCGGCTCGGGAGTTCTGCTCTCACCTTCGTACGTCCAGTGGTGACCTGTAAGAGAGTGATTTGGGCTGCGGCCAGCGCAGCCTGGAGCAGTGTCCTCTCCCTCCCGCGCCCCCCCTCTTCTGCTGCTTCCCCACACCCCCACTCCAGCAGTTCCCAAGGGAAGTCATGAAACTGAGCACGTTGGTGGAAAGGTCGGGGGTCCTGTTTAAAATAACTGGCCAGTCTGTGCCCGTGGTTAATGAGTAGTGAGGGAGGAGCCATGGAAAGAGATAAAGCCAGGAGACTAAAATTAACCTGGATCCAAACGTGCAGGCGGCCCAACCCTTAGCTTTTCTCCAGCTGGAGCCAAGTTAGTGTAACTCTTAGAAGATCGGGGTGGAGTAGGGTAAGGGTGTGGGCAGAGGGCTCGGAAGGGTAGAGAACAAAAGAGGACGGACGGAACAACGTCCAGCAGCGCTGCTGACGACAGGAGAGCTATCAGTCCTTTGCCTGGGTGCGCTACTGCATGAGCAAAGGCATAGAACTTTCGATGATTTTTTTTTTTTTTTTTTGGTTTTTCGAGACAGGATGAAAATTTTAATCCTTCCTTTTTGGTCTGACTGGCTCTGCCGTGCCCCTCAGCTCCTGCACTCTCAGATGGCACAGAGAGGCAGGAGTCAGGGTAGGCTCTATTCTAGGTTGAGGGTGGTGGGTGGGCAAAGGCAGTCAGGCTGGCAAGGACAGGAAGAAAGTGAAGCATTGTGTGTAGAGAGGAGAGCTGCCAGGCTGGTCACATGTTGGGCTCTCATGCCGTTCTGCCTCTAGCCAAGAAGCTGGGGGGGGTCTGTGGATCTAGCTACCCCCCATGGCTAACCTGCTTTGAGGAGGAAAGGGAGTCTAATTGTAGATTGGCTTGTACTACTTAAATCTAGAAACTGGGGGGGGGAAATCCTAAATTCCTTTTTATCTTTATTACTTCTTTATTTATCTTGTTTGTTTGGGGCAGGGTTTTGCTATGTGGTCCATACTGGCCCAGTATTCTTTCTGTGGTTCAGGCTGACCTCAAACTTGTGGCAACCCTGCCGCAGCCTCCTGAGCGCTAGGATCACAAGCATGTGGTCCAATGCCCAATGTTTCTATTATTCTTTTAACTGCTCAGACTCGGAAGAGGCTTTGGCTCTCACCCTTGGTCTGCCCAGCTGGCCCATTCCTCAGCTCAAGGGCCTCTGCACAATAGCTCAAGGTGCATGCATGCCTTTAATCCCAGCACTTGGAAGCAGAGACAGGTGGATCTCTGGGAATTCCAGGCCAGCCTGGTCTACCAAGTGAGTTCCAGGACAGTCAGGTCTACACAGAGAAACCCTGTCTTGAAAACAACACAAAAACGAAAATACCGCCCCCCACCCCCCATAAGCCCAAGTGTGGTTGGAGGCTCTCTCTCATTCTCTATCTCTGTGGGATACTACAACAGCTAGAGTTCTTGGTTTAGTGAAGGTGTCCTGCTCTTCCTGTTAAAGGCTCTGGGCTGATTCTAATATCTGTTCTCCTCTTCCCCTGTTTCTTCTCAGAAGGGATCTTTAGCTCTCTGTTTTCATTGGTTCCCTTGGTCTCATCTGCTTCCTGCCTCCTCTTGCTTTCTAGATACTCCTCCCGCTTAGTTCTCCCAGCAAACCTTAGTCCCTCTCCTACTATGTGCTGGATACTGAATGAGGCATGGGAAGTGCAGAAGCCGTAGCGGCCACGCACAGTGCTGCAGACTGGAGGTAGAAGCGAGACTAACTCAGCTGCATAGTGAGTTGGAGACACGTCTGGCTGCATGAGACCTTGTCTCAAAAACAAAACAAACAAGCAACAACAACAACACAAAAAGGTGTGGGAATCCCCGAGGCATCCCTGGACTCTAGGAACACCGTTTCCAGTCTTTCCCTCTCTCTCCCACTCCTGAAAGTATACTGTAGAGGGCTAGTGACTAACTCGATCATTGTGTTTGAATGGACCAATTTGTTAGTTTCTCTGTACACCTTGGCAGGTGGTGGGATTATTATCTGATCAGCGGGGAATCAGACACCCTTGCGTGTGTGTGTGTGTGTGTGTGTGTGTGTGTGTGTGTTCCCAGCCCTGCTCTCCCTAACCAGCAGAGTGCACGAACAAAGAGGGCAGGAGGGCTGCCTGAGACTAGGGCAGTAGGAAAAGAGCTTCAGAGAGCTAGCTGTAGCGGCCTGGCACGGAGAGAGAGGTTCCCACACGTGTGAGCATTCACACACTGGCCCCGGCTAGTTCTCTCCTGCCACAGCAATAGCAGTCATGGCTGGGCTAGAGAGGAAAAGGCAAAGAATGGGAGGGATCTCCCCCACACTCTTACACTACGCTCCCCAACCATCGTGCCTTTTGTCCCCAGCCCCCAAGTGTCCCTTTACACCTCTCCTCCCCCACTTAAGTACACATGGCGTGGACATTAGCACAGTCGTACCTACCCCTGTCTGCAGCCAGGATCCAAGTCACCTTTAACAGGAGAGCGAAGAACAACATATTATCTCCACAAGGCCACACAGGGGACCAGGAATTTGCGAGCAAGGAGATTTAGGTGGTGAGGGAGAGAGAGAGGAGTTTCTGGCGTCTGTATCTTTTCCTCTTGTCTCTGCGGGCTTCCAGGGATTTGACTTTCCTCAGGTTAGAACGAACTTGTGGATCAATTTCCTCTCTCTCTCTCTCTCTCTCTCTCTCTCTCTCTCTCTCTCTCTCTCTCTCTCTCTCTCTCTCTCTCTCTCTCTCTTCCTCTCTGTTTCTCTCTCTGCTGTCTCTGTATGTACTCCGTAGTCTCTACACCACTTACTGGCCAGCAACTTCACAGTAGCCACCCGCTTTTAAGGTGGCTCTGAACCGGTGTACGTGAGGAGGGGGGGTGGCTCCCGGGCTGCAGGCGAGCAGCTCCTTAAATAGCGGATTAGGCGAGCTGGATGGTCCTGCGGAGCCCGGCGTCCTGGCCTTGGCTCAGGAACCCAGCTGGAGTGAGCTCTTCCTTGGCCATTTGCTCTGCCGAGATGGGTGTCCCCAGGAACTCTCGGGCAGAGAAGGGGGGTTTCGCACCTCTCTCTCCCCCGGGACACTGTGTTCTCTCGCATTCTCCTGCCTGAGTCGCACACCCCTGGGTGGTGTGGGCCAGCTGGTGGGGAACCTGTTTCCAACCAGAAAGGATTCATACTTGGGAGCTAGAAGAACAGAAGTTGGGGGCTCAGGACGCAGGTGGGGACTGGGAAGTCAAAGTTTAAAATCTGGATTGCGGAGATGAAGAAGTGGGGCGAGGAGAACCTTAGTCTTCCGTGCTGTCTTTCTCCGGTGCCTGTCGCCACCGCACCCCCCTTGGTGAGGCTTAGGTCCACGTGCCTGTGTAGCCCGGGGTGGGGGTGCAGTTTTGTTTGCCGTATAAAGCCCATTTGTGTGCACAGCGGGGGAGGGGTTGTCACAGCACCAGGGAGAGACAGCATTCTAACTACCAGACCCAGCCACCTCCCTCCCCGGGGAGCCCAGATCTAGGGCGCCTTTTGTCACTGAAGAGGACACTGACCCCTAGCAGAGAGGCCTGGGCAGGAGGGGCGACGGGTGACTGGGGAAACAATTACTGTCACCACGAGAAAAAGGCGGACTCCAGAGAAAGAGAGGGGAGGGGCCAGAGAGGCCATGTGACCAGCGGGGTGAGGGTCCAGGGGCTTCCCGCCCACCCAACAAAGGGTCGCCGTAGGCCCAATGGGACGAGTGGAACCTGCCACCGTGGAGTTAGCCAGTGGAGCACGGAGGTTGCGTGGCGTCTCAGGAATGTGCGCTGTTGCGCGCTCCCCCACGGGACTAGAAATCCCGATCGGAATGTACATCCTAAGTCCCTCATTAGTGAGTGTAAAAACCACAGATAGTTTAAAGCTGGGTGGTGAAATCTCTCTCCTCCGTACCCTTCACTCACTAGCCTAGGGCATGCACCTACTGAGGTCTTTCTGCCCTCCTTGCTCCCAACAAGTAGCAATAAATAGCCAAAACAAAGGGAGCAGAAGCCAAACAAGGGCACAGGATAAAAGCCAAGCGAACAGAATAATGCATGTGCTGGGTCATCACTCTTGCGGAGACAGGAGCTTCGAGCGCTTTTTTGTCCCGTGACTGAGCTTCAGACAAGGTTATGTTTTCTTTTGTTTTGAATGTAATTCTTTTTTTTAAAAAATACTTCTGCCGCTTTACAAATTCTTCACCCCCTGCAGAAAAGTTTCCGTCTTGAAGTACCTCCAAAGCTCCATCCATCCCATCTAGGAAAAATAAGAAATGTAAAATGTAAGTTGAGACTTCTTTGGAATCAGGGAAGTTAATAGGAGGCGCGGGGGGGGGGGGGGGGG